TCATTTGTTACAAATTGTGTTTCATTTGGATCTATTGTATCGTTACACCCTTGTATCGTGATATCACATTGATTTTTTGTGTACATGTATGCCAACATAATCATGTATATTAGAGCAAATGTCTTCACTGTAACGTAGTGATGTTAGTCGTGAAATATAGATGTGCCGAAGTGTATGTGCCCTGTTACGAGAATGGTATGAAGCCTTTGTGTTCTGTACATGCTGTAAATAAACTTTTTCTAAATCAGGAATTCCGCCGTGTAGTCGGCGAAGGTTTTGTCCGTAGAGACAAAGCAGGAGAAGAAGATGATTTCCACCTGAGGGGTGACGACTCGAGCGGCAGGCAAGAGTGTGTGTGTTTACCGCTATCGAGCGAAGACGCGCTGGCAACAGCTGCGTGTGTGAAGCCGACGTGTTTCCGGCGAAGAAGTTGAAGCTTGGAGAGTGGCAATTGAAGACGCGATGTTTCCTGGAATAGAAACTTCGGCGAGGTTTCCTGGAAGAGAAACTTCGGAGGTAGCGGAACGACAACAACGCTGGACTTTGAGTGAGTGATTCTCGGAAGAGTATCATCCAGACTTTTGTTCCAAGAACTTTGGACTGAGTAGGTCTTCTATCTCTTTAGTCTTTAAGTGTCTTGGTTGTTCAATGCATGTGACTGCATTGTAGTGCGTATTGTTGTCTGTGTCCGTTGTGTCGAGTGTGGCTGATTGTACTGTGTAGTACTTTGTTTGATTGGGGACATATTGTATGCAAGTATTGTGGAGTGTGCATATTTGTGTTTTGTGTTTTTTGATCTGCCATTATTGAGAATATAATTTTGTTTTGGTTATCAACTCTTGACTCTGACTTGTTCTTTGGGCCACAGCCGGCATCCGCTGGCGCGCCAAAAAGGACCACTTCTAAATTGTCCACGCTTTCGTGGTGCGGTTCGGGGGGCCGATACTTCGGCCCTTGGAATTAGCCCGGCGATCGCCTCCCTAATTAACGGGACCTGTGACAATTAATCTGGCGTCCGCGACAGGACCTTTTGGTGCACAGTGTGTCCAAAGTAGTGAGAAAGAGCTTCGAGTTGTTGATACTGCTATCGGAACGATTTTATGTGTTGCGAAGTGTTCTCGTTAACGAGTGCAGGATAGTGTTCCGATATACTGATTTAGGCAGATATTTTTTTTGCACGCGGCAAGGTTTTAGTTGCGAGACACAATGGATCTCGAAAAGTTAGTCGCTCTTGGTGAGAAGATGGGTCTTTCTGGCGCCGAACTACGGAAGTGGGTCACCCAGAAGAAAAGGCAGCTGAGCTGGAAAAAGAAAGGTTGGTGGTCGAAAGAGCCAAAGTGGGAAAAGCAGCTGAGTTGGAGAGAGAAGGGCTGGCCGCTGAAGGGCGAAGGAAGAAAGAGAGCAACAATTGAAGTTGGAAAGAGAGAAGTTGGCAGCCGAAAGGGCGAGAGAAGAAAGAGAAGCGGAGATGGCTGAAAGGGAACGGCAGCGGCAGCACGAGATGTAACTCGAGCGGCTCCGTTTGCAACAGCGAAGTGAAACTCCCGTCCAAGCTAGAGTTGAAAGCAGCGAACGGGAAGATCATGGCTTCCGCTTGAACCCAAGCAAGCTGCTCGTCGCGTTTGAAGAAAGGAAGGACGACCTTGACGCGTATTTTCACAGATTTGAGACGATTGCAAGGAGCCAGAATTGGCCGGAAAATCAATGGGCAACTGCTTTGAGTACTTGCTTGAGTGGTGAAGCGCTCAGTGTGTACGGCAGGCTGACGCCGACCGATGCAGCCAACTACGCAAAGGTAAAAGCTGCTTTGCTGAGGCAATTTAGATTTACTGTGGAAGGGTTCCGGGACAGATTTCGGACAGGAATGCCAGCTGAAGGTGAGACGGCGACGCAGTATGCCGCCCGACTTTGCCATTATTTCGACAGATGGATTGAACTTTCAGGGACAGCGCAGGAGTACGATCAGCTTAGAGAGCTCCTAATTAGAGAACAATTTCTTACTAGTTGCCACCCAAGCCTGTCGCTGTACCTGGAAGAGAGGAGAGCTAAGTCACTTGAAGACATGCTTGAATTAGCGGATCAATTCTTGAAAGCGCAAGGTGGCACTAATTTGGCCAAAGTCAAGAAGGAGTGTCCCGAAGATTCAAAAAATTCGGCACCCGAACAAAAAAAGCGTGCACCGGAGAGTGTTCCGCGATGTTTTCTGTGTAACCGAGTGGGTCATCGCGCGAGCAACTGTCGTACTAACTTTACGAGCCCTACGGTGGTAAAATGTTTTAAGTGTGGTCAGACTGGGCACAAAGCAGACGCATGTCGTAACGGAGCGAGTCAAACTCACCAGGTATCCTGTGTGCTAGCAGCACCGAAATCCGATGATAATGCCGTCACCGATGGATTCGTAGAGTTGAAAAATGGGGAGAAAATTCCTATTGTGGGTGCTGTAAAGACAAAACAACCAACCGGTGTCACGAAGGGAATGCCAACGCTGCCTGGAAAAGTTGCGGGCAAGAAGATTACGGTGTTAAGAGACACCGGTAGCTCCACGGTTATCATGCGGAGAAATTTGATACGGGAAAGTGAGTTGACAGGCAGAACGAAACCGGTTTGCCTAATTGACCGTACGGTTCGGATGCTTTCCGAAGCGGAGATTGAGGTTGAAACCCCCCTACTTCAGCGGGAAGGTTACGGCTCTATGCATGACGACCCCCCTGTACGACCTCGTCATCGGAAACATCGACGGGGCGCGAGGGCCGAATGATCCAGAATGTTTGGGGGAAGACCCGAAGATGGAGCCCCCGCCGACACAAGGACCGCGAGATACAGCGGAGAACAATCCCGCGAAGGATCTCACTCGAGCCCAAGGTGAAGCCGCGGCGCAAGAGACAGCGAATGGGAAGATGATCGTGTTGAATGAGTTCACGTGCTGGGCAGCAGGACGCACGTCGGCACAAGCTCAACCGACAGACAGTGTAAAGGTGACGGAGTCGGCCAGCCAGGCCCAATGTCGTGACATGAACAAGCGGGTGACAGGATCGGTTGAGCGTTATCACCCGTTATCAGTGTCAGAAGTGACAACGATGGCTGAGACGCCGCCTCAGACCCCGTCGTTGGAAAGGGCTCGCCGAAAAAGAACGAGAAAAAACAAGAAGAGATCGAGCGAGCACCGCAAGAAAGGACGCAAGCGCAGCTCGAAATTCACAGGATAGGTGCTGAGGTGGAATCGGAATGTGTTTGGCAGGGCTGAGTGACATATGTTGTGTTAATGTTCTTGTTATCCTGTGTCACAAGTGTATGTCGAGCGAGTCAAAGTGTTCTGTGCGATGATGTGATGTATAGTGTTGTATAATTGTTGTAAAGACAGAACTTTGTACGTTTGTATTGTTTGGAATGTGTGATGAAGTGTTGTAGTCATATACCTGTGGTTATATTTCATGTGTTGTGAGATTGAATTACAATATACTATTGTATCGAGTGATCTATTGTGAATGTGACGTGTCATGAGCGACGGACTATGTTACAGTCTTTCAGAGTGTGTGGTGACTGTTCGCACTCGTTTGTACGGTTTTGAATATTATGAGATAATATTCTTAAAGTGGAGGGCAGTGTCACAGAACGAGCGCTCAAAAAGGGCACGCCGACAAATTCTCGCAACGAAACGCGGGAGTGACGCCGCGAGGTCAAAAGAAAAAGATAAAAAAACAAGCTCCCCGGGCACGCTCCCTGTCCCCTCGGAAGCGTGGGCTCGCCGACGAACCTCCTCACCCCACAACGGCGGCCGAGCAAGCACTCGAATGTTCTAGATGGAAAGGGGCGGGGTCATGCCGGGTTGAGTCATCCGTCGCGGACGGCATTCGAACCGTCTCGCCCTCTCCCCAGCCTTCGCTGCGCATTGCGCCGACGAAATGATGAGAACTTTCTGGAATCGCGCGCGGAAGGTATTTAACCGAGCAGCGGAGATGAGAGATCAAGAGGAGAAGACGGAAGTTAGCGCCAGAGCGCGTAGGGATTCCGCCGTGTAGTCGGCGAAGGTTTTGTCCGTAGAGACAAAGCAGATGATGATTTCCACCTGAGGGGTGACGACTCGAGCGGCAGGCAAGAGTGTGTGTGTTTACCGCTATCGAGCGAAAACGCGTGGCAACAGCTGCGTGTGTGAAGCCGACGTGTTTCCGGCGAAGAAGTTGAAGCTTGGAGAGTGGCCAATTGAAGACGCGAGGTTTCCTGGAAGAGAAATTTCGGGGGCAGCGGAACGACAACGCTGGACTTTGAGTGAGTGATTCTCGGAAGAGTATCATCCAGACTTTTGTTCCAAGAACTTTGGACTGAATAGGTCTTCTATCTCTTTAGTCTTTAAGTGTCTTGGTTGTTCAATGCATGCGACTGCATTGTAGTGCGTATGGTTGTCTGTGTCCGTTGTTTCGAGTGTGGCTGATTGTACTGTGTAGTACGTTGTTTGATTGATGACATATTGTATGCAACTATTGTGGAGTGTGCATATTTGTGTAGTGTTTTTTTTGATCTGCCATTATTGAGAATATAATTTTGTTTTGGTTATCAACTCTTGGCTCTGACTTGTTCTTTGGGCCACAGCCGGCGTCCGCTGGCGCGCCAAAAAGGACCACTTCTAAATTGTCCACGCTTTTGTGGTGCGCTTCGGGGGGCCGATACTTCGGCCCTTGGAATTAGCCCGGCGATCGTCTCCCTAATTAACGGGACCTGTGACACATGCTCAGGCCTTCAGTGTTCTGAAAATCTTGCTTTTCCAAATTTTTCAAGCAATAATCAAGTTCATGTGAAAAGCAAGTGAATATTTTTTTATATCTGTCAAGCTGGTTTCTAAACCACATAAAAATAAAAACGATATCATCAAATTATGTAGCACATAAATGTCAATGTCATTGTATCAGGATGACAATGATGACAGCAAAAGCAGCATCACCTCTCCAAGAGCAATGCTGAAAATGCAACAGTAATTGTGTTGGATTAAAATAAACCCAAGAGAGTTCACTTCATATAGCTTTAATTAGGCTTAAATATTTACATCATCTACGTCTACAATGAAGTATAAGCATGCCTGCATTTTTCAATTAGTTTTGATGCTTTGCTTTTTTTTATGTGCACAAAACTTCATGCGTCTTGCTTGCATATCCTTAATCATATACTGCACACTGAACTTCAGAGGTATGAGGGTGACTGCCAGAAAAACGCATAGGCATCGTGTACGATTTTCTGATTGCGTGGTTCAAGTTTTAGAGCAGTGCCTAGTTTCAAAAATTAGTAACACGAGAAATCACGGCACTGCAACTCAAGGGCTTAAGCAAACGGAAAACTTGAATAGGTTATAAGTTGTACGTGTCATTGTCAAAGTATATGCCGCATTTTTAGTGCTATCATGCTCTTGTTCAATCTTTAACACCCACTTTCGCCTTCCCAAGTACAGGGTAGCCAATTGAAATTATGTAGTTAACCTCCCAGTATTTCTTTGGCCTTCCTTTTTTTACCTCTGCCCATTTTTCAGCACCCTGGCATGCACAGGGCAGAAATTACACTAACTGTTCTGTACCACCGATTCCTTTTATCAAATGATGCGTCAACAGATTCAGGGCACAGTGCAGGCACTCTGCTCAGTATGAAGAGCGTGACCGAGAGCTGTCCTCGCCATCTGTAGGTGCATTTACATCTCGGAGCAGCTTAATGGAATTGATGCGCAGTATGGTCTGCGGGTATCGGTAAAAATGGTGTCTCTCATAACGGCTCCGCTTAATGTAGACGAAGTTTCGCTTTGTTTGGGACAATGACTTCTCCACGACGGTGGCGTCGACACGAACGAGGTTGCGGTGAAGCAGAGGCCGGCCTAGGAGTGTGAAGTCGCGAGCACCGACCAACAGCACCTACAAAGACATGAAGTTCTGGGCGTAAATGAATGCACCTATCATTGTCATCGTTACCTCACTGGCACCTCCATACTGGACAGTGCAAGATTTTCTTTATCAAGAAAATTAATAAAAATAAAATTTTAAAAATATAGAACAGCAGCTATACTGAGCAATTAAATGTGCTAGGGCTTCAAGCCTGTATACTTCAAGCTAATGTATAACTAATGCACTATGTAGTTATACATTAGCTTGAAAAAACTTTGTCTGGAAAGTAGAATGACCCATGGCTACACTAACAGATGAAAGAGCATAGAGTTTCCAAAAATTAACTAGAGGGGACTCTGATGCTTGCGATAAATCAGCGACCACTGGAATGATGCATAGTACACGGATTTGCCTAGTCTTCGTACTTGCGGCTTCATTTATTGCTGTGTTTCGGTTTTCTCTCGAACGAAAGAACAAACTTTTTTGAACTTCGTGACCAGATTTAAAATGGTGAGCCCAAAAGAATAAGGCGGTGAAAGGCAACTGCTGAACATTTGCTGATTTTCATTTCATGAGAAAACAGCTCCAAGCCACATGAACACACATGGAGTCAGAAGTACAAAGATTAGACAGATCCATGTACTACCCATCCTTCCCATGCTTGCTGAAGTGCCGTGCATTGCAGCTTCCACAAGCACAAATGTCAGAGTTCCATCTAGTGTATATTTAGGAAAATCTACATAAACAGTCTGTCTGAGGACATAAAACAAAAGTAAATGATGCTTAAGAATGCCAGAAGACGGTGCAAATTAGTCAATCTCGCTTCACCTTGTCTGAAGCTGTTTAATGTCTTTCCAACAGTAGTGTACCCACTGTGGCACACTACTGTTGCATTAGTTCACTAGCTGAACATTTGCTGATTTTCATTTCATGAGAAAACAGCTCCAAGCCACATGAACACACATGGAGTCAGAAGTACAAAGATTAGACAGATCCATGTACTACACATCCTTCCCATGCATGCTGAAGTGTCGTGCGTTGTAGCTTCCACAAGCACAAATGCCAGAGTTCCATCTAGTGTATATTTAGGAAAATCTACATAAGATGTCTGTCTGAGGACATAAAACAAAAGTAAATGATGCTTAAGAATGCCAGAAGACGGTGCAAACTGGTCAATCTCGCTTCACCTTGTCTGAAGCTTTGTCTTTCCAACAGTAGTGTGCCCACTGTGGCACACTACTGTTGCATTAGTTCACTAGCCACCTAACGAGTACATTAGACCACCACTCACTTATAAATGGCACAGCAAGCAAAATGTACGGGCAAGTGGACACGTGATTGCTCGATAATAGGAGGACGCTTATGCTTTGCCTTCACGGGTAGAAAGTGACAACGATTCCTAATGCCTTCTCATTTGCTAGCCAGGCTTCTCCTAGTGGGCACCTGAACTGTGCTGCAAGGAAATGAATCTCCGTGCACATAACATTGGCCACATTAAACTATCCTGCAGCGCCTGCCCCAAGCAGAGTTGTGAAGTGCCCGCTAAACCATAATTTATCATTTTGCAAACTAGCAAAGTACCCACTTCACTTCCATAAGACACAGTGCACACTTTATTGATGGTGTCGTTGATAAGGATTAGTGCAACTTTTGGCTAAATTCCTATATTTCTTGACGTTCATTTCAAGCTTGCTTAACATATGGGCATGATATAATGGATGAGAAATAAAACTTAAATAATTGTCCAGTAGATTATTGGCTCAAGCAAAGAAAACATTTCAATCAAACACTTATAGTGCCTATTTCTATGTTTATACATATATCAGCTTCTAAACACCTAAAAATTATTTTTCTTATATTTGTCAAATACACGTTTCACCGGAGTAAACTGCAGATTTAGAGGCAAAAATGGCAACATAAGCTACAAGACATGCATGCCATGCTCATAAATGGCAACATAGGCTACAAGACATACGTGCCATGCTCGTGATATCTGTTATGTGGCCAAAACTACAGACACCATAGTAATAAAACACAAGGATAGGCTAGAGCCAGTGGACTTCCCAGAAGATCTCCATCACTTGGAGTCAAGAGTAACGCAGCACAGTTTTTACGTGAACAAGGCTATAGTGCACGTACCCTAGCAAGGCTCGGCTAGCTGTGTGGCATATAGCTACAGTTTACTAGAAGGAGCAGTGCAACGAATGCAGTGGCTCCACTGCATCTTTGCTGTCACAGTGATGGGCTGCAGCACATAGAGCAGTGCTGTCGTTGCTTCGGAACAGAGCTATTGTGAGTATCCAAATTGAGAAGGCACATGTCGAAGCCTTTGGATGCAAGTAATAATAATTCTGCATTTTTCAACATTTTTCACAGATTGGTGAGCTTCAATAAATATTTCAACCGCTATTACGAGTATGGCTCCATAATTTAATGGCAAGCATTAGGCACAAATGATAGGCAGGCACTTACAAAGTTACATCACAAAATATTCTGGAGGCTATCCAAGCGCTATGGATGCTGCGAAATGCATCAGACAAAGAGGCGCAATCGTGCCCCTTGACATTTCTGGTTTGATGTCAGTTCCGTTCGTATTTATGTTGTTGACGGTGGCTTTTGGAAATCTGCCAGACAGTGTTGAAGAAGGCGCTAAAAAGTGTCGCTATCCGGCAATGGACCAGTGGCGGCTCGCAGTGATAGTTTATGGATGGAGAAAGAGTATTTTGCCAACCATATGGAAGGCAGGTGAGAAGAAATTTCAAAAATCAACAAAATTTTCTATTTGATGTCAACTCTATCAGACACTCAATAAGATACATAAAAGCCAGCAAGAACGCTTATGCTAGTGCCAATTTAAAAACTTCTGAGCGACCTATTCGCTGCACCTAGAACAAGGACCAAGTATGGAAAACAAAGTATTGCTTACCAGGTACCTCAGGTTCTAAATACCCTTGCAGATCAATTGAACTTTAGGGCTAGTAGTGCGACTTTCAAGAAACAAATAAAGAACTTACTCATAACCACCGGTCTACACTATCGAAACTACACAATGGAGTCTCATGCCTCTGCAAATGCTTAAATTGTTCATAAACTTCTATATAAATTATACGAGTGTATACAGCGGAATTCATTGTATCCGCATGCATTTTGTGTCTGTTTTTGAGTTTGTTTCATTGATATTGTTTAGTTGTGAATTATAACGAGATTGACCTCTAATTCTTAAAATGTGTTATGTAAACTTCTTATGTTATTTATGTTTGAATTTTGTGTTTACAATTTCAGGTTGCTTGAAACCAATGTATTGTTTAAGCTTTGCACTGTCACGGACTGCGGAGGGACAAGGGCCTTTGTCAGGCTGTTCGCCTTTAGCCCTTTGCCCCTGCAGTGAGCTCTGTATCCGGCTTACTGTAAATAAAAATACTACTACTACTACTACTACTACTACCTTCCTAGTGTAATTGACTTTTTCTTCTCACGGGTACCACGTAAAAAAAAGCGTCTGCAGCAGCACAAAAAAAAAAGAATGTTGCATCAAGCCAACGCTTCAAGAACCGTCATCAACGGACATTCTTGTCGGAAAGCTTTGCTCAAAAGAAAGAGAAGAGTTTTTTGTGAAGCCTTATGCGAAGCGTCAGCAACTGCAACTCTTTGTGGGCAGAAATAAAGAACAAGACATTCAAAAACTTTTTCCATGAGGTACTGCAAACAAAATATACCATCAAAATTACTCTTGACAAGCAGTATGTGCAACCAATGTATGAGAAGACATCACAAGAAAAAAAAATCAGAAGTCGGTGAATCACAAGTATGGATTTCAGTGGAAGAGACAAAAGGTGCTACCAGATGACTAGCTGGACATTTTGTAGTTGGAAAGCTCAATGCAGAACAGAAAGCAACACTTCTCTTGGTATGTTCGAAACAATAATAAAGAACGAGCAGTGGAACATCACTTACGACAACCGAGGACTGCTGCTCTGCACAGAAGGAACAGCTTATGTATGCACAAGGTCCTTCTTTTATCTAGAATTATTGTACATCCCTCCTAATGCCACCAAGATTTATCGGCTTTGTGAAAAGCTGAAAAAGCCATTAAGTTGCATTAATCATCTGGTAACAGATGCAGGCAAGAAAGTCATTCTTAGGTGTTCCTCTACACACTTAAACTGCACTTACAGGATGGGCTTCTTCAGGGAAAGCCCGTCATTACTTACTACTGGCACAGGCCAGCGAACTCACTCACGAGTCCACTCACTCGAACTTGGATCAAGCTGTGAGTCCGAGTGAGTCCAGTTGAAGAAAATTTTTGTAAGTCCGGCAAAAGGACATTTTGGCGAGTCTGAGCGAGTCCGAAGTGCAAGATATATTTAATGAGTGAGTCCGAGTGAGTACCACTTTTTTTGCCGACTTATGGTTCTATCTGCTTATCTTCGGCATTACTCCCAGCCTTATCTGGATTCATGTTTACACGCATGTCTACTCACATGCATTCCAAAGCAGTATTGGTCATAATCCATTTCGATATTCTTTGATTAAATGGGTGGATTTTGTAGGCAGAGCTCCCCCGCTATTTCTTTCAGGGAAGTTGTTAATAAAAATACGTTATGTTGTCACATACTCAAAAGAAATTTCCTTATTCGTTTGCAACTACTCAAATCTCGTACGAAAGTACTCTATCAAAAGGCGTGAGAAAGAGCGCCGATTACGTGAGATATTGGTGTTAAAGAGCGTTTGCACCAAGGTGGACTGACATCACGCCTCTACCATTTCGCCTCCATCGATATACGACCGCCACGGCCGGGATCAAACACGCTACCTTCGGGACAATCCACCTCGAACCGTTGCCACTGTTGCGTGGCGAACTTAGGGCCTCATATAGGCGCCGTAAACCTGTTTTTTTTTTTTTTTTTTGCGCTTGACCTTCCGGTGATTACTCATGATTAACTGCGCCTAGGCACTTTAAAATGGAAACGGCGTGGTGAACGGCATCACCTTCTCAAGGCGCAGCGAGTCCCCGATGTCCACCGGCATGTCGGCTTGAACGAGCACCAGGTCTTCCGGGGTCACCTTGAACTGCTTGCCGTGAATGTAAACGACCGCAAAGAGGCGACCCGTCGTGTCATCGGCGATCTGCGCGTTGACGCTCTCCAACACGCGCCTCGTTTCTTCGACATCGTTCGACGGAGAGACCACGCTGCCTTCGACGACGGACAGCCGCGGTGCCACCGGCGGGGAGCTGGTCACGGGCTTCAGACGCGTCGCATCAGAACGCAGATTGCGAGTCGCTGACCACGGAGTGCCGGCGCCGAGTGCGCGAACGGTCCGCAGTAAGGACGTGCAGAAATTTCGGCTGCTGGACAGCGCCATTTCGAACACGCTTGTTTTGGTTCTGAAGAGAGATGATAATCAAAACCTTGTGCTTTTTGTATTAGGATAGTAACACGCGACACCTAGTGGCTTTTCAAATTATTTTAAGAAAGCAAAACTATTGAGATTAACACATTTAGAAAAAACAAAAAATACCTGTTGATTTCGTCCTACAAACTTTGCACACGTACGTATTCTTAGAACTATATACTGTTTTTTTTTTACGCTACGTAGTTCTCAAAGGCTTTGCATTTGTGCGTTGAAGGGATAAATAAGTGGATAAATTCTGTAAGCATGCCCGAGGCTTGAGGCATTTAAGGACCCAAAACTGAAGGGACCGCTGCCTACAAAAAACTTTTGTTACCCAAACGCCTTCTAGTCATCAACTTGTAAATAATTCAATATTTGACTGAAATTTTGGCTATGAATATTTATAGTTACAATAATTTATTGTAAATGAACCGACGACTTTTTCACAACTCATTGCCACGGTCACAATGCCAAGGATATCGACATTTTTTGATGGCCGCACGCGCGGTGCTCCGGGCGCTCAGAAGTACACGTCGTTTTAATACCGGGGGTTCCGAGGGGAAAAAATAGGAAGGGTTGCGCTGAGCGTGGTGTGTGTGTGAACTTGAATCCCCGTCGGTAACGACGCAGCAATGACGGAAATCGCCGACTGGTTCCGCAGTTTGCCCGTCTTCACTCGCTACTGGTTCGGCCTGTCCGTGCTCCTCCCCATCCTCGGTCGCTTTCGGCTGGTCAACCCTCAGCATCTAGTGCTCAGCTACGACCACTTCGTCAAGGGTTTTCAGGTGAGTGAGTTCCCCATGACAACCGAACGCCGTGCGGGTATCTGATACGATCACTGCACTTTCGAGTCGGTCGAGGGGCCATCGCGCGACGATACGTCACAGTGACGCACGAAATGTGTCGCGTCATGGCCCGCGCGGTGCTCGTTCTGTATGCCACAAAGCGCAAAGAACGACCACTCGTAGTCAGCCCACGAGTGTGCTGGCGAGAGTTCGAGGGCTCACGTGTGCGGAGTTACTACCTCCGACCAGCAGAAGCGTGAAGACGCAATGTCCGTATAACTTGCAATCCTACGAGACCTTACTCGAGACTACGTTTACTTCCGTCAACATTCGGCGCTCAGTGTATGGTTCTCCTTGAAAGGATCCACTTTTTTCCCCCGTCCCTGTTTCGTTGGTCGTTCATTGCCTCGCGCTCTCACACTGTCATGTCTTGTCGCTGATATCGCCCGCGTGTAAAAGGGAGAACGAATAACGAGACCTAGTTTTCTTCCTTCGATTCGTTTCTTCCGCTCTCTCGCGACATAACTAGCTGCACCAGCCAGCACAATCTCGATAGTCGCTCCGGCAATTCAATTTGCTGAAATGCGCGTTTAGTGAAGTTTTGCTTGATCGATTTTCTTCGAGCGTTTATCTTTTTCGGAGGCAGCAAGGTCTCTTTACCGATGCCATCGGTTGTCGTATATGTTGTGTAGTTTTCCTTGTTTTCCGTGTCAGGGCAAATAAACATCAGTGGTTGCTATTAAGGTGCGTCACGACTCAGTATGAGGCAACAGACCAAACCGAAGCTTTATGTCGAGTGCTTATATGCATTACAATACATCGCGTGAAGATTAACTGTTTTTACTTTTGTGAACATCCTAATCTTGGCTGGCACAATATTATAACGCATGCATAGAAACCTCTAACATGGAGCTCGCATGTGTGTACCTGTCTTTGCAGTAACTGTTGCACGCAAGCACCACCTTGAGACATGACCCTGGTGACAGATTCTTATCTTCCGTACTTACACTTCTGGCATCAATCAGAAGCAGTTGTGATTCCTCATGCACTTCATATTTTGGGCACGACTTCGTCTCCCCTAAATTTGATCATCAGCCTGACTGTGCTCACTGCAAAGGCAAATAATGGCTCTCTTACGTAATCAATGTGGTCTTCTAGCCATCATGTTATCCCTGCAAACTTCTTAATCTCATCTGCCAACCCAACTTTCTGTCTCCAAGAGTTGTTGCTTCTGTCTCCCCTTTGCACGTTTAGCTTATCTTGGAATCCAGCCACTTAACAATGAGCAGTTATCTTGCTTACGTGCCCTACCCATCTCCATTTCTTTTTCTTGAAATGTCAACTGAAGTGTCCTTGACATTTATTTGTTCCCTGACTCACACTTCTTGTCTATTAGTGTCTTTCCAATCACGTTCCTTTCCATTGCTAGCTGTATAATGAGAAGTAAATAAATTCTGTCGCTAGTAATTTTTGCCCACCTAGTCATGTGAAATGGTAATGATTATCAGCATGGTTCACAGTAAGGCTCATTGTATTACAAATGTACAGGTGCGATCAAAAGTGTGCAGACCACGGGATCGCGTGGCAGAATGCATCGACGCGCCAGCTAGCGACGAGACACGACGAGACACCTGCTGCAGGGCGCATGCGCGTCCCGTCTTATCACTTGGCTTCTCATGTCGCTCTGTTGGACGCGTTTGCGGCGCTCGTAGCCAAAACGACCACCAGGTGTCGCTTTCTTTGCTCCATCGAAACTGTGCCGTTCTTTTAGGCAGCGGCTGCGACGGGGCCGGTTCGAGCGCCAGCTCGCGTTGTTATTCACACCAGTTGATTAGGATAAGCATAGCGAGCATCGCACAACTTGACGAAGCCAAACGCACAAAATCAGGTTTTCTCAGGCCAGCTTGCATTTGTCCGGCTTATCCAAGTTGCACTTGAATCAGCTTAGTTAGGTCCAAGTTAATGTAGCCGAAATTAATCAAACGTGAATAAATACACTGCATTAAACACGTTTACTCTCAAAAGCTTCCTATGCAGCAACAGATGTCTATATTAGACGGATCGAGGCGTGATTTGCATAATTCTGCGACGTAAAACTCGAGTGCTTCGGGTGGGCTAGGATGTCGAGAACTATATTCAGTAATATTTATAAATAATGTTAAAGCTAATTAGATTTATATTTAAGTAAATGAGACTCGACTCGGTCAGGAGTAATCAGCATCTTGCTGAGCTTGGATTCTCTGAGTTCATGAGAATTCGACTGCAATTACGTTAATTATTTGTGTTTTACTGAGATTTTGCCTAATTAAAACTTATTATAGGCGAATTAATTTGATGATGGTATGACCAACCAAGCTTAATCAGGTTTTTATAGTTACCTTGGTGCTTGTCTAATTAGCTTAGTAATGCATATTTAGCCTAGTTATGACACGTGAAATTCCAACACAAAAGGTACTTTAGTTTTATTTCACGCTAATATTCAGTCATAATTACCATTCATAACAATCGGCAATAATTAGACATTATTATCTTTAGCAGTATGAATTCGGTAAAGAGTACTTAATCTTCCTGGCCTTGACTTCTGTGGGCTCAGGGGAAAAGCCGACATAGAATAATTGGCCGCGATAATGTTTGCCTTGTATAGGCTTATTTTACATGGCTAGGTCAAAAATGAGCATGATGAACTTTTCCCAATTAGATTTGGCTGTACTTATTTCGACTCATATGGGCTCAATTAAGCTTAACTTCGCTCAACTTGAAAACGCCAAGCTGGACTGGGCTTAAGTTAACCTACTTATGCCTGACTCATTTAGGTCATGATGTACTCGACTACATTTAATTAATTTCGGCTACATCCACTTTGTCTTAACTGAGCTCATTCAAGTGCAACTTGGATTAGCGCTACACAGGTGAGCTGGCCTGAGAAAACCTAATTTTGCGCGTTCGGCTTCGTCGGCTTGTGCGATGCTCGCTATGCTTATCCTATATAATCAACTGGTGTGAATAACAACGCGAGCTGGCGCTCGAACCGGCCCCGTTGCAGCCGCTGCCTATAAGAACGGCACAGATTCGATGGAGCAAAGAAAGCGACACCCGGTGGTCGTTTTGGCTACGAGCGCCGCAAACGCGTCCAACAGAGCGACATGAGAAGCCAAGTGATAAGACGGGACGCGCATGCGCCCTGCAGCAGGTGTCTCGTCGTGTCTCGTCGCTAGCTGGCGCGTCGATGCAATCTGCCACGCGATCCCGTGGTCTGCACACTTTTGATCGCACCTGTACCTTCAATAGGACTGAGCAGTTGAATAATTTGTGAGATCACTTATAACCTTCTCATTGTCTAATGGGCTGTTGAATGATTATGAAGGGGTGATTACCATATGAATTAGTCTGTCAATGAGCCATGTTTGTAATTGGAACTCACAATGTAATTGCACCATGGTTGATTGTCTGCCGTAGTTCATTAGGAATATACCAATCATCATCAGCCTGACTACGTCCACTGCAGGACAAAGGCCTCTCTCATGTTCCGCCAGTTAACTCGGTCCTGTGCTTGCTGCTGCCAATTTATACCCGCAGACTCCTTAATCTCATCTGCCCACCTAACCTTCTGTCTCCCCCTAACCCTCTTGCCTTCTCTGGGAATCCAGTTAGTTACCCTTAATGACCAGCGATTGTCCTGTGTATGTGCTACATGCCCGGCCCATGTCGATTTCCTCTTCTTAATTTCAACTATTATATCCTTAACCCCCATTTGTTCCCTAATCCACTCTGCCCTCTTCTTGTCTCTCAAGGTCACACCTTTCATTTTTCTTCCCATTGCTCGCTGCGTCGTCCTCAATTTATGCTGAACCTTCCTTGTAAGTCTCCATGTTTCTGCTCCATAGCTAAGTACCGGCAGGATACAGCTGTTATATACCTTCCCCTTGAGGGATAGTGGCAATCTACCTGTCATAATTGGAAAGTGCTTGCCAAATGTGTTCCACCCCATTCTTATTCAATCACGAGTTACTTCAATCTCGTGGTTCGGCTCCGCGGTTATTACCAGCCCTAAGTAGACATGGTCTTTTACAATTTCAAGCGGAACATTACCTATCTCAAAGCGCTACTCTCTTCCGGGGTTGTTGTACATTACTTTAATTTTCTGCAGATTAATTTTAAGGCCCACGTTTCTGCTCTCCTTGTCCAACTCCGTAATCATGAGTTGCAATTCGTCTCCTGAGTTACCCAACAATGCGATGTTATCAGTGAAGTGCAGGTTACTCAGGTACTCTCCATTAACTCTTATGCCTAATTGTTCCCATTCTAGGCCTCTGAAAACCTCCTGTAAGCACGCGGTAAATAGCATTGGAGAGATTGTATCCCCCTGCCTTACACCCTTCTTGATTGGTATTCTGTTGCTTTCTTTATGAAGCACTATGGTAGCAGTTGATCCCCTGTATATTTCTTTCGGTATGTTTATATATGCGTCATCGATGCCCTGATTCCACAGTGTCTGCATGACTGCTGATATTTCTACTGAATCAAACGCCTTCTCGTAATCTATGAAGGCTATGTATAGTGGTTGGTTGTACTCTGAGCATTTCTCTATTACCTGATTGATAGTATGAATCTGGTCGATTGTTGAGTAGCCTGTTCGAAATCCTGCTTGTTCCTTTGGTTGATTGAGTTCTTATGCTTTCTTAACTCCGTTAGCAATTACTTTTGTAAATAACTTGTATACTATGCAGAGCAAACCGATCGGCCTGTAAATTTTCAAGTCCTTGTCATCTCTTTTCTTATGTATTAAGATGATGTTAGCACTCTTCCAAGACTCTGGTACTCTTCTTGTCAGGAGACACCTCGTCAACAGGGTGGCTAGTTTTTCTAACACAATCTGTCCTCCATCTTTTAGCAGATCTGATGTTACCTGATCCTCACTAGCTGCTTTGCCTCTTTGCATGCTCTCCAAGGCTTTTCTGACTTCTTCTATCATTACTGGTGGGGTGTCTCTGGGTTACTGC